CTATGGGGAGTTTGGGTGCTCAGCCCTGGGTTCCCGACACACCCTGCCCTTGGGGTTGGGCAAGAGGGTTAGCGTGTCTGTGAGGATTTCTGGTGAGGATGGTTGAGTATCAGACTCCGGTTCATTTAAGGGTTAGAAGTCAGACAGCTCAGGGTTACAGTGGCTACTGTGAATTCAGCTGTTAGCGCCTTCCGAAGGCAGGTTTCTTGAAGCTAATGTTTTACTGTGTGAATCATGAGTGTTTGCTGTGCGCAGTCAGGGCCTGTGAAACAGTAAGAAGCCATTATCTTTCCAACCAGAAGACCTACAAGGAGTGAAGCTTATCGGTTGTAATGATCTTCTAAAAGAAATGCCTTTGGTCCAATTCATTGTGTGGCAAATACCATGAATGGGACTATGAAAGGCTCTATGGGAGTGCACACACACAGCTTGGCATGCCCAGAAACGGGTGGTAGCTGACTCTTGGACTCTTGCTTTCTGCTGTTTGTTTTGCTTCTGTGTTTTACAGACTGTGTGCGCCATCTGTAGCCATCTCTTGCTGGCAAGTCTTTCTCATTCTAAGGAAGTAAAATTCTGAATGTGACAGAGAGAAGAACACCAGACCCAACAATTCTAAGAGGTGACTCACAGCAACTGCACTCTGTGACCCTTAAAGCAAGACAGACTGGGGTTGCGTTTTCTATCTGATAACGGCTCTTCTAAAAACACTTCCAAGGGTTGATTAACAAGGAGTTGCCTCATGGCTGCAGCAAAATGCCTGAGCAAAGCAGCTTAAGGAAGGAAGGGCTTGAAGGAGCAGCATGAGGGAGTGGACATGCTGCATCTGTATCCAAGCACTCCAGATGAGTGCTGGGGCCCAGTTCTCTTTCTCCTTTTCTATTAGTCTAGGACCCCAGTCCATGCCCACATTCAAGATGGTGTTTCCTCCTCCATTCGACCTCTCTGCAAATGCTCTCAGACATACCCAGAGTGTGTCTCCCAGGCGATTCTAAATCTAGTTGATAAAGAAGATTAGCTACTTTATTTCTTTATTTTTCTGGGGCTGGAGATCACACCTGAGCATCGCGCATGCCAGGCACATGTTCTGCCACTAAAGCAGAACCCCAGCCCTGTCTTGTTTCTTTCCATAACCCGCTTTCAAGGGCAGTTCGAGGAACCCCTCAGATTTGGTGAGTGATTCTCAACCCTGCTACATACCGGTGCCGCTTGAGGACACTAGCAAGTGCAGAACCCACAATGACATCCCGGGAATTCTACAGTGCCCCCCAAGGTAGAGATCAACACCAGATGAGCACTTCAGACTTCCTCATACATGTGGCAAGCCACCGAGGACTCCTGGATGAAATGGAGGTGCTGACTCGGTCCCTCTTGGTAGGATTCCTCCTCTCCATCAAGCTTCCAGGTGACTTGAGGCTACCAAGTGGAGGGCACACTTCAGAGTCCCTCCATGAAAAAACTTAGTCAAGATGTCTCAGAACAGGCCAGGGCTGGCCAGTCTTTGCCTTTATTCTTTTTCTGTCCCAAACGCTAGTCCCGCCCTCACATTATTCATAGAAGAAAATATTATTTTTGTGCACATGCTATTGTTTTCTTTTTGAATATCTCATAGCAAGAATTATCCCTGTATTCAAGCTTGGGGGATTATCTAGACCATTCAAAATCCTAGACTCAGAACTCAGAATGGTGAGTGTAGGCTTGCAGAGACAAGAGTGCAGCTGCTGGTGTGAGGGGCCATTAGAAATCTCAGAGTTAGTATAAGATTTATAAATTAAATTAAAACTCTGTGTGTGTGTTTGTGTCTTTCTGTCTCTGCCTCTGTCTGTCTGTCTTTGTGTGTGTGTGTGTTCAGAGGCCAATAGCAGATATCTTCCCTAGTTCTCTGTCTTAGTTTCTGAGACTGCGTCTTTCCCTGATTCTGGAGCTCGCTGATTCCTCTAGGCTGGCCAGTGGGCCCCAGAGCTCACCCTGTTTTCATTGCCTCATGTCTGAGATTATAAATTCATACTGTCATGCCTGATTCCTCTTTTTCTTTTTCTTTTTGTGCATGCTGGGTCTCGAACTTGGGTCCTCATGCTTGCAAGGCAAGCATTTCATTGAATGAGCCATCATTCGAGTGCAGTAGATTCAGAAAGAAAGCTAATTAGAGCTTCTGTTTCTGAGAAATGTGGAGAATTCTGGAGGACAAGGCAGCCACGTGTCTCTCTTTAGGATATGTTTTCATCCCAGGGGAGTAAACCTATCAGAACTCCCTTCCCGAGAGAGACAGAGACCCTCATGCCTTCATCTCTCATCTGTTCCAGGAATCCTAGTAACAGGACATTGTAACTTGTTTTATCCCCCTTTGCAAATGGTCTAGAGGCCTTTGATTTTTGACAGTTTGTAAGTTACATCTTTTAGATGCTCCTTTTTTTGAAATGACAATGGTTTTTGTTTTTTCTTTTCTCCTGTTGCTCTATCTTTTATCATCTTCATCCCTGGGCCTCACTGAATTTAAGAGGGCAGGGGAAATGCTTTCCTCCTTATTTGTCTCATTGGAGGCTGCTGTGAAGTAACCGCCCACCCTGGCTTCTCTTTGTTCCTTCTTCTCCCCCCCCCCCCCCCCCCCCCCGCCACCCCAGCCATCTCCTTCTCCCATTTACCTAAAAGAATAAAGATGACATCATGTGACCTAAATAAGCCTTCTGTTTCACAGTTTGAAGGAAGTATTCTACTCTTCCCTTCTAATAGAGTTCATAAGACTGGCATTTAACAGCAAATGGTGTTTCCCCAATTATAGAAATGGTTTGGGACTGGATCTAAATTCCAACTGGCTGACTTGCCTTCCTTCCTTCCTTCCTTCCTTCCTTCCTTCCTTCCTTCCTTCTTCTCCCTCCACCCTTTATTTTTTCCTTTCTGACAAGGTCCTGCTATGTAACCCAGGCTGACCTTGAACTTGGAATCCTTTAGCCTAAGCGCTACAATTACAGGACTTGGAAAACAGAATTTAATTTGAGTGTTGAATACCAACAGAAATGTTTTCTAAACGGTACACATTTGCATGAATCAATCAGAAGGAAGCTGCCATGAATAAAGCATCTTTTAAAGTCCCCGAACTAAAATAGTTTTGTCTCTACAACCTTAAAAGCAAACAATTGGCTAATTAAGCCATAATGAACATGAGCTCTTGGCCCAAGGAAGCGTTTAGATATTTTTTGAATCCGGTTTCCTGGCAGAGGACCCCACATGCTCACAGCTACCCATAGCCTGTCCTTGCAGTACCTATCTGCAGTGCCCCAGAACCTGTGCATTTCAAGGCAGCTCCCCAGCTGTCCCCCCTCACATGTGCAGGACTGCATCTGAGGAATCGCTCTCTCTGTGACCCTGACACATGTCTTTGCGCCTGTTACATTTTACATCTTCCCTTTCTTTCTAATGCAGCAGAATGCTTCCTTTGTTCAAGCCAGCCCAGGAGGAAAACCCAGCCTGCTGAGTGCCCTTAACAACACTCATGAAAGGGAGTTGCTGGGAGTGCCCTTGGCACATGGCGCTCTCATATGTTATAGGAATCCCTAAGTGAGGAACAGAGAGGGCTGCTTAGTCTGTCAGTCGGCTCTCCTGACAATGGGACAGTTCTGGCTTCACTAGTCTTCCAGGGACAGTCCTAGGGACAGTTCCAGGGACATCACCGTGGTGATGGCTGCTCTGCAGCTGAATGGTGGTTCAGGCCTGCAAGGTGATGAAGGCAATCAAGCATGCACTGCTGTATGATGGGCTGGGTGGGGTTTGGAAGCTTCCTTGGACATTCTCAAACAGTCTAGCATAATAACCATAATGACTATTAAAATTATGACAGCTAAATATTTACAAGCTTGCCATGAATCTATGATTGTTCTAAGTTATGATTTTTTAAATATTTTTTTTGTTATATGTGTATGAGTGTTTGCAGTGCCCCAGAGTCCAGAAGAAGGTTTCAGATGTCCCGGAACTGGATTTACAGATGGTTGCGAGCCAGTACTGGGAGCTGGGAACTGAACACCACTTCTCTACCAGAGCAGCACACACTGCTAACCACTGAGCGCATCATCTAGTGTGCAATTCTTGTGACTTAGGTCTTCGTGTCCCTATTTTAGGAATGGAGAAACTGAGGAGTGAGGTTATGGCAGCTGTCTGAGTTCAACCTGCTGGTAAGAAGCAACAGAGGCGTTGGAATTTGGGCTTCACTCCCATGGTGCCCTGTCTTGTGAACTCTTTGGGAGTCACTAACATCCCTGGTCAGTTGGGGTTGCTTGGAGACGGCCTGAGTCCTGTATTTGCAGGTCACTGAGAAATTTACATGCCACTTCTCCACCTCCAACTTATCAGTGAAAAGTCAGGGTTTAGGTGGGTTTTCTGTGCTGTCAACAGTCAGCCCAGGAGGGCTGAGAGCAGAATTGTAGTTCAAAGTTTGAATTTTCACCCAATTAACTTCTCTACTGATACTACTTCCTTTTGTTTGAACCCGGTGCTTTCAAATTGCATGTCTTACCACCTGCAGAAATGGGGCCAAACCCACAGGGCTGTCTGAATGTCAGGGGCGCTTTGGATGGTGTGGCCATGGACTGGGCTCTGTAAGCTTAGATGTAGCTCTTTCAGATTTAGCAATCTGTGATCCTCATGGGAGGTGAATACCTGTGCTGTTTTGGAGGGAAAGTGGGCAAAAGTGAGGAACCGATTTGGCCCAGCCATGTATAGCCATGTTGCAGACAGCAGTTTGGTTATCTCTTAACTGACATGAAGAGTCCTGTCCCTATGCTCTTAACCTCTGACTTCTCTGTTTCTGCTTTTGAATAGAAATAACTCTTTTGTCTTTCATAGGAGCCAAGCATTACACCGAGAAGGCAGGGCTCATCATTTTCTTCCTGCTGTGTCTTAATTCTCCACCAACAGTGCCAGCAAGGGTCCACAACCAACCCATTCTACAGCTGAGGAAAGAGAGGTCGAAAGGAATGAAGCCATCAGGCCAAGATAGCTCCAGACTTTACCTGAATCCAAGTGATCGAGGTGCCAAGGGTCAGTGGCCGAAGACATGGGGGACAGCGTCAGTGGGGACGCCCCACAGTTGGACTCCACCAGCTCGCCCTGAATGTGCACGTGGGCTGAGGCGTTTGTCTGTCTCAAGGCTGCTTTGAGGGGGGCGATGTGGTTGAACTGGACTCTGGACAGGCAGCCTGTGAAGCCTGGGGTGTTGTACTTGTGAATTTCTTGGTCGATTTTCCCTGTTTCTAGGAAGAAAAGAAAGAGAAAATTAGAATCCAGACCCATTCACCGTATTCTGTGGCAAAGCAGAGCAGTCCTGCAGCGCCTGTGTGCCGAGCTCTTTGTTAGGTTCCAGCTTTGACATGTTTTTGGAGCTGAGATATTCAGAGCACCCTGGCCCTCAAGGCGGCAGACTTTAATGAAATACCATTTTGCTAGTGAACATGGGAGGGTGAGAATAAGATTGCAGTTGAGAAAACAAACAGAACAACAACTACTACAACAAGAACACTTATGATTCTCTTGTAGCCACATGAATTACCATACCAGCATACACTGGTTCTGACTGGTTTTCCACCTTTTTTTCCCTGCTCTCTGACTATTTTAGACATATTATTACACAAGGGTCCTGCTTAGCTCACATATTCTCTTTTAATTTTTCCTTAAGGAGTCTTTATTTTGAATGAAAAGGAATGATCGAACGAAAGAAGGAAGAAGAAAAGAGACTTACTTAGCTGAGAGTTTTGATTTTCCTTTTTCTGATGAACAATATGCTTGGAATTCCAAGGCTTATGAAATCTCTGTTAGCATTCAGGTATTATGCTGGTCTGCCCCTTGGGGACCTGGCAGGATGTGTCATCCCTGTGTTGGCCTGCTCAAGGTACTGACAACATTCTCTGCTGTTGGGGGCTGCAGACCCTTTGCCTGCTGGAGTGAACTGAGCAAAACAGTTTGTTTACCTGTGCCTGCAGCTGCTCAGAGCATGGGACCCTCAAGAGTTCCTGATGGCAGGGGAGTGAATTCTGTTGGTTTTTACAGCTGGAAAACCCAAGAGCTGGGACATGGCTATCAGTTAAGAATCCCTATATAAGCTTCCCTGGAGCACAATAAAGTTGGCATTCCTGTTTCTAGGATGACCCGTGTCCCCATGTCTCTGTCCGTGTGCATATGTTTTTAAACCTCCAGCCTAGTTCCTGGCTCGCGTATCATGTACTGTCGCGTAGCTACACTCTGTTATGTTGGTGCAGCACATGCACTAAGTCCCTTCATAAAAAGTGGGCCTTCCTGCCTGCCGTCTCTCTTATCTTCTGCTGCTCCTGTGTCCCCCAATAAACCCTTCACATGGGCTCTGTCACTTGGGTGAGTCTCTCCTGCCATTTTTAAACTATAACACTATTAGTACAGGATGGAGCATTTTAAAGTCAGGAAATAGTCCCAGTTCAGTTACAGCATTGAGGTACATTTATGAATCATCACCTTCCCCAGTTAGTACAGTCAACATCTTCCCATAAACTCTCAGCTCAGGGGTGAGCCTGGCTTCAGGCAGCTCCAAAGTACCCATGTGTGCTAACTCGGCCCTGTTTGTCAATCAAGGCAGAGACTGCCTTTCCAGCTTCTTAGGGCCCAGAAGACTAACACTCATGGAATCCTTAAGTGCTTAAGGCTATCTGATCCTGCATCTCTCAACCAGAAAGATTTTTGATCTGAAAAACAAACCCTGTATTTGGTAACATCATCAAAGTCCTTGGTAAACCAGAGAAGCCATTTCAGCTGGGGATTGCAGTAGAGAGAACCTCTGAGGGTGAAAGGGAAAGGAACGCCAGGCTGGCAGTGTTATGTTCGGGAACTGTGGGAATCTGCAGGGGCCACAGCTCGAGGCTAGACCCTGTAGCCTTGAAGGCCGAATTCAAATGTTCTCATTTCAGGAGCAAAAGCAAAGATGTTGAAACTTCAGAGGGCTCTTGTGGGGACTGCATTAGAAAGATAACTGAAGAGGCAGTGTAGCTAGCAACTGCTCTGAGCAGGTGCTGGCTTGACCACCCCCATCCTCAGACCCTGTCTTTGCCATACAGCCGAGGTCAGATCATGCTGCGGACCTGGATAAAGAACCATCCTCCTGCTGGTTCCTCTGTAATCTCTTCCCCATACCAAAGCTGATATTACACACAGAGAATTGGGTTGGGTTTCGTTTCTTCTGTAGAGATCTGAGTGTGTGGGGGTGGAGTGGAGGGGACTTTCCATTTTTAAGTTTTAGTCAGGCTGGTCTGGAACTTGCTGTGTAGCTGAAGCTACTCTGGACTTTGCTGTTTCAGCCTCCCAAATATTGAGATGAAAGGAGTGAGCCACTACGTACATCTATCTTAGTGGATGGGGGGGGGGGGGCGGGGGGCTTCTGACTTCAGTTGAATTTCACATGGTCCTCAACACAGATTTTTAAACTTTAGGAAGGTGGACTTCCCTACCGCACAGACCAGAGTGGAGAGTTTCAAAGCTCTCCCTGTCAGAGGGTTCTCTATTTAACCTTCCTGAAGACAGGGCCCCAAGGCAGGGACACCACACCCGAGTGCATGGAGGGAGCCCAGAAGTAGGCGTCTGATATTGTTTAGAAGAGCAGTGGTAGCCGCAGAGGCTCTGGGTCCCCGCCTGAGCATAGTGAGTACTGGAAGATACGTCAGCCACAGGGGCACACATTTGGGGCTGATGGTGGGAGCAGGCCATGGGAGATGTCTCCTCGCATGCTTCCCTTTTCTTTGGGACTCTTTCACTCATTTCTTCAACATTTTTCTTTTCTTGGTAATTTGGAAAATTTCCAAAGTTCAATTCTTTTGTTTTTCCTGAAAGGCAATAGAAATATTTCAAAATCTAAATGTTTCAAATCTGGTTGACATAGTCTTTTCTCAAGAGTCGGCTAGGAACAGTTCTTCTGAGGAGTGTGCAATAGATACTCTTGATCCTTTAGGACCTGATAGCCCCTCTCTGGGCCAAGAGGTAACAACAGAATCAGAGCACAGACTGAGGCAGGAGTTAAAACTACAAGCTTGTCACATAACATCGTTTATTTAATAGCTGGCAAGATGTCAGCCACGGTCTTAGACTAGTAATATTTGTAGCTCAGTGACTAGCAGGCCTAGGAGCCAGCAGCTGAGTCAAGGTCAGTGATTAACAGAACAAGGAAGAGCTAGGCTGAAGGGAGCTTTGACACATGACCACTGCTCTCACTGAATGAGCAGCGCATGAACAGCACACAGTTCCCTGGCTGGGCTAGTGGGACATGCGCAGAGTATGAGGGCCCCTATTGTCTCAGCCTATGTATGCCCAGAGAGCTGGCCAGTCCCCAGTAGAAAGCACCTCATTCTCTGTCTACTTTCTGCCATTGCTGTCGAAAGCTCCTACAGTGTAGCCCTGTGGCCTTCTCTCTCTTCAGGTGCTGCCTCTTTGAGCATCTTTCTTAATTCTCACTTTTCCTTAATAAATCTACTTTGCTTTGTTGATTCCTTCTTTGTCCACATGTTTATTCCTCATTGATAGGAGATAAAGAGCTGGAGAGCCACTGTCTCAGATTGACATTTGGTGATTATTGATGGTCCAACAACCTGGTCCCTGGGTCAAGCCTGTCTGAACCAAAAGATGCCTCCTTTATTCTCAAAGAGCTGCATCACTACTGTGTTCCAAGTTTAGACCACGGGTGGGGGGTCTATGCTAAGCTGTTTTAATACAGTTTCTTAGAAAATTTCCTTGAAGTTCTGCTAGTTTGTATATAGAATGTATTCCAAAGGCCTGTGTATTAGAAAGCTTGGTTCCAGATTGGTCCCTAGTCCAACTGTCATCAGAAAGGCTTCATCCAGCAACTGATGGAAGCAGATACAGACCCACAACCAAACACTAGGTAGAGTTTGGGGAATCCTCCCGAAGAGGAGGAGAAAAGATTGTGGGAGATAGAGAGGTCACGGACACCTCAAGTAAAATCACTGAACCAACTAACCTTGGCTCATAGGGGCTCAGACTAAACCGACCACCAGGGAGTCTGCATGAGCTGACTTAGGCCCTGTGCATATATGTTACAGTTGTGTAGTTGGTTTTGTGGGACTTCTCACATTTGATGTGGGATTCCCCTCTGTATGTTGTGAATACCATTGGTGAATAAAGAAACTGCCTTGGCCTGTTGATAGAGTAGAGCAGAGTTAGGTGGGGAAAACTAAACTGAATGCTGGGAGAAAGGAGGCAGAGTTAGGAGAAGTCATGTAGCTTCTGCTGGGGACAGACGATGGCTGGAAGTTTACGTGGCAAGTCACAGCCTCGTGGCGATATACAGATTAATGGAGATGGGTTAATTTAAGATAGGAGTTAGCCAGAAATACGCTTAAGCTATTGCCAAACAGTATTGCAATTAATACAGTTTCTGTGTGGTTATTTCAGGGCTGAACAGCCAGGAACAAACAAGTGGCCTTCCTACAACAACCATTGGGCACAGGGGCTGTCTCCAATTCTTTTACTGGCTTTTGGGCCCCTACTCCCCATACTGGGTCTCTTTGCCCCGTCTTATACATGGGAGGTGCTTAGTCTTACTGCAACTTGATATGCCATGTTTTGTTGCTACTCATGGGAGACATGTCTTTTCCTAAACAGAAACAGAGGAGGAGTGAATTGGAGGGTAGGAACGGGGTAGGGGTGGAACTGGGAGGAGAGGATGGAGGGGAAACTGGGACTGGGATAACACATATATATACATATACATACATACACACACATATATACATATGCATACATACACACATATATACATATACATACACACATATATACATATACATGCACACACATATACACATATACATACATACACATATATACATATACATACATACACAATATATACATATACATATATACATACATACACACATATATGTATGCATGTGTATATATATATATAATCTTGGTCCCTATAGCACTATTGAGGAGGAAGTTAGGTCAATGTGTGTGTGTGGCAGGGGGAGAGGTATCATTCTCCTATACCCTCCCTCCACATGCACTTCTTAGACCACAGGATGAAAGGCTCTCTCTACCATGTGACCATCATGATCTGTGGTGTTACTTCACGTACAAAGTGACAGAGTCAAGAGACAATATAACTGAAACCTCTGCCAGTAAGAGCCATCTGACGTCACTGAGAGCTCCAACACGTTCTGAAAATGCTTATCTGAAAAAGTTTCTCTCTCTCTGCATTGAACTATATTCCCACCCT